CCCGGACGCAGAGGCCAGCTCTAGGGCTTGCCTGCTCCCGACCGCTGCTCCCTGATATCCCTCCAGACTACTTACCACCCGGCGGGAGACATTCCTCCCCCTTTTTGCTGCCCGTAGCCTCCTCACCCTCCCTGTGTCGCCCTTTGTCGCCTTGGCACCTTCACTCTCCACCCTGCCCAGCACTTTCCTTCAGGCTGGATATTGACTAGCCTTACCACCCTGCCTCGGCAGCACCAAATTAGACTAGCGCCTTCAGACCCATCCATCTGGCTTTGTCATCTGCATCATCTCACCTGTTCATCTCAACTCTGTCCATTCAGTCTACCACCCACCTCCACTCAACATCCTCACCAAAATTCAACCCAGGCCTTCCTCCCCATCTCCTCTCAGGGGCTTCCTCCATGGTCACTCTGAATGTCCTCTACACCTGCCTCACTCAGCCTTAGCCCCAGGCCTCTCTGTCATTGCTCCTTTGTTGTCTTCTACAGCTGTCTCCTGGTTGTCCTTACCGCAGTCCCTTGACCTCTAGTCATATTTTTCTACCCCATCAATGACAAACCCTAGCCCAGAATTCCCTCTGCCTATGACCAGAGACACCCTGCCAGCTCTGTTCTGGCAGTCTTTAGGATGGGGCCTAGCCGTCTCCCTCAGCCTGCTCATCCCCTTTCTCTTCCTCCTGGTCTGGTCTCTCCTAGCCTGCCATTCCAGCAGGTTACCCTGTCCTCTTATGTCCTGTCCTCAGCCTATGGCACCCTCTCCTACTTTTCTTCCCCAGCAGGTGCCCTGGCAGAGTCATGGAGCTGAACACAAAAAAGAAGCTTCATGCCCTGTCCTTGGCTGAGAAAATCCAAGTGCTGGAACTCCTGGATGAGTCCAAGATGTCCCAGTCAGAGGTGGCCCGGCGCTTCCAGGTCTCCCAGCCCCAAATCTCACGGATCTGCAAGAATAAGGAGAAGTTGCTGGCAGACTGGTGTAGTGGCACAGCCAACCATGAGCGCAAGCGGAAGCGGGAATCCAAATACAGTGGGATCGATGAGGCTCTGCTCTGCTGGTACCACATTGCCCGAGCCAAGGCCTGGGATGTAACAGGGCCCATGCTGCTCCACAAGGCCAAGGAGCTGGCCGATATCATGGGCCAGGATTTCGTGCCCAGCATTGGCTGGCTGGTCCGCTGGAAACGCCGAAACAATGTGGGCTTTGGGGCTCGCCAGGTCCTTGTCCCTCTGTTCCCTCCTGAACCACCGCCCCCTGGGCTTCTATCCCAGGTCCAGCCACCTCTTTCCCTTAAAGACTTCTCACCAGAAGATGTTTTTGGCTGTGCTGAAGTGCCCTTGTTGTATCGGGCAGTGCCTGGCAGAGTGCTGGCATGTGATCGGTTGCAGGTACTGCTGTGTGCCAACAGCAGAGGCACAGAAAAGCGAAGGGTATTTGTGGGTGGGCTCCAGGCTGCCCCAAGATGCTTCTTTGGAGTCAACAGTGAAGCACTACCTGCCTCTTATCACCCTGATCTTGCCATCCCCTGGTCAGAGTGGCTGGCACAGTTTGACCAGGACATGGGACAGCAGGGCCGACAGGTAGCCTTGCTTCTGGCTGCGGGAGTGGCCGAGGAATGGGCCAGCCTTCCTGGACTCCACCATGTACGACTCCTGCCTCTCTCTGCCTCCAGCACCACACCTTCCCTGCCTGGCTCTGTGGTTTTGGCCTTTAAGGCCCATTACCGTCACCGTCTGCTGAGCAAACTGGCTGCCATGCAGCGTGGGAGAAAGGGCACCTCACTGGCTGACGCCAGGGCCAACATCACAGTATTAGATGCTCTGCATATGGTGGCTGCAGCTTGGGCCAAGGTGTCTCCTCAGCTCATTTTGAGCAGCTTCATTCATGAAGGGCTCGCTCCAGGCAAAACAGCGCCGTCTCTGAACAAAGACACAGAGATGTCACCAGTCCCAAGTGGGCTGAGTCAGGAGGAGTTTTCCCACTTTGTAGACCTGGAGGATGAGGACCCAGGGCCTAGAGTATGCAAAGAGGAGACTGGTACTGAAGACATCGGGAGGGAAGAAGATGGCTTTGAGTCCCTGCCCACCAAAGCTGATGCCCTGAGAGCACTGTGTACCTTGAGGAGGTGGCTTGAATGTAACAGCACCTCTCCAGAGCCCTTTGAAAAATTCTATGATTGTGAGGTGGAGGTGGAGCAGCTCTGCTGTCTGTGAAGAAATGTGGCAGCCTGCAGAATTGCCCTCTCCTGTTTCCCATGGAAACACCTCCAGAGGCAGACTGGCTCTTTCCTGTGGAAACAGCATGTGGAGGGTGTAGAAGGGAAGGGAGTTTGGGACAAAAAGTCTAAGGTCAGGGTAAAAGTTGGTTAAGCCCAGTCTGTCTCTACAGTTGGGGCCTCAAGAGTGGGAATCTGGACTGTGTAGCTTCTAGGCAAACTCTGGGGGCAGTTAGTCTAGAGAGGCTGGAGCCTAGAAAGGTGGACTTCTGTGTTTGTTTTTCAAGACAGGGTTTCTCTGTGGCTTTGGAGTCTGTTCTGGAACTAGCTCTTGTAGACCAGGCTGATCTTGAACTCACAGAGATCCGCCTGCCTCTGCCTCCCAAGTGCTGGGATAAAAGATGTGTGCCACCACTGCCCAGCAAAAGGTAGACTTCTAACAGATGGCCCCAATCCCTAAAATTTTGTCAAAGCCAAGTCTGCTTCTGGAAATAAAATTTTTAACCAGGAAGGAGGTCAGGATGTGGATTTCCTTTCTTTCTCTCTTTCTCTTTCTTTCTTTCTTTCTTTCTTTCTTTCTTTCTTTCTTTCTTTCTTTTTGAAATGGGGTCTCATGTAGTCTAGGCTGGCCACGAACTTGCTGTGTAAATGAAGCTGATTCTGAATGTCTTAATCTGCTTGCCTCCCACTCCCAAGTTCCAGGGTTATAGGGATTTTTCCACCATACCCTGATTTATGTGGTGCTAGGTTAAACCCAACCCAGGGTTTTGAGCGTACTGAACTAGTACTGTACCAACTGAGTCACGTCTCAGTTTCTCAGGGCATGGTTTACATGAGAAAAGGGTGAAGTCTTCAGACTTTACACATGGACCCTCCTCGTGGGCCACACCTATGAGAAGGAAAGTTGACCCAAATATTTGGCAGCTCTTATCATTTCAGTATCAGATCATGTGTGGTACAGAGGCAAGCCAGGGAAATAAGATCTGGATTCACTCATTATAATTTTTCAAACACTTGTTCGTTCACCACAGTTCCTTTCATCAAGGCCTTCTATGTGACAAGATTCCAAAGGTGACATCTTTGCTAAGCAGGACCGGAAAGGCTATGGCAGACTTGTGCAGAGTACTTTGGCCCCAAAGCTGGGTGAAACCCAGTAGAGGTGAGCTGTTTTTGTTGTTTGTGTGTGGGTGTTGCTTTTGTTTTTGAGACAAGGTCTCACTCTGTAGATCGGGCTGGCTTTAAACTCCTAGAGATCTACTGCCTCTGCCTTCTGAGTGTTACATTAAAGACATGTGCCACCATTCCCAACCTTGTTGTTTGTTTTTAAATTTTTTAAAGTATGTATGATGGGGGGAGTGTGCATGCACCTACAGACATGCTATCATGCGTGTATAGAGGCCAGAGAACAACTTTGTGGAGTTCTTCTCTCCTTTCACCTTTCTGTGGGTTCTGGGAATCAGACTCAAGTCTCCAGGCTTTTGTGGCAAGTGTGTTTACCCATTGAGCCATCCCACCCTCCCAGTGGTGAGTTTTGATATGTAGACCGCTGAATAGAGAGAAAAGTGAGGATGACAGGGATGAGGGAGCACCCCGAGTATGGAATGTATGGAGGTGAGGGAGCACCCCTGAGTATGGAATGTATGGAGGTGAGGGAGCACCCCTAGTATGGAATGTATGGAGGTGAGATGTTCTGAGAGCCCCTGGTAATTGAACAGGTAGTAACCGAGTCTTAACAGTGGCTAACTATAGGTGTTTACAGTGTGACACTCTATGGGTTACTTTACTGAGGGCCATTTGAGATCTAGCACTCTGACCAGGTCATTCTTTACACAATATAAACAATTTGTTTATATTGGCAGACACCCTGTGGCTCTTATCTATTTTGTGTCTAGTTTATCAATCACTATGGCACTAGGAGCCAGACCAAGTTCTCCCTGTGAGTAGAGTGGGCAGTCTGGGAATGGCATACACTAGCATGACATAAGAAAAAAGGGTGTAGGTCAGTTCATTCATTCATTCAATATTAGGAATGAAACCAGGACCACACCAGTAAGCCCCTTTGCTTTGGGTTTTTTTGTTTGTTTGTTTGTTTGTTTTTTAAGATTTGGGAGGTTGCCTGGCATGGTACTTTTAATCCCAGCACTGGGGAGGCAGAGGCAGGTGGATCTTTGTGAGTTCAAGGCCATCCAGGACCATTACACAAAGAAACTCTGTCTTAAGAACCACCCCCCAAAATTAGGAGGTTTTGTTACATTTTTAAGATTTATTTTTACATTGTGTGCTGCAAACAGTACCCACTAATTCAAGATCTCCAAGTGTGCCTTGTGACCAAAGTCATATAATGGATGGAAAACTTCCTCAGAAAAATAACTCTATAAATCATAAAAAAAAAAATCACTGTCTCTATTAAGATTTCTCCATGGTCTAGGTACCATCAACAAGCACTAATCCATGCTACTGTTACCCTAGATACAGCGACAAACAACCATTACATTCTAATGTTTATCCTAGTTACAATGACTACTAGATTCCACTACATCTCACTATAGTTTTCACTTCTCTTATAATTAATAATGTGGAAAACCTTTTAGAGTCCTGCATCCTTGTGTTTGAACCAGGTTAGCCTTGAGTTTTCAATCCTACTACAGTGTCCAGAATGGTGGATTACAGGTGTGTACCACTTTTTAAAATTATTTATTTTTATTTTATGTGCATTGTTGTTTTTCCATGGATGTCAGGTCTCTTGAGACTGGAGTTACAGAGAGTTGTGAGCTGCCATGTGGGTGCTGGGAATTGAACCCAGGAACTCTGCTCTTACCTGCTGAGCCACCTCTCCAGCCATTTTGCCCAGCTCTTTTGTTTGGTTGGCTGATCAGTTTTAGTTGTTGTTGTTGTTTGAACAGGGTCTCACTATGTAGCTCTGGTTGACCTGGGACTCACTCAGATCCTCCCGAGTGTTGTGATTAAAGTGTTGTTACACCTGGCCCAGCTCCTTGTCCAGCTTTTGCTGGCTGTGTCTTTTTTGGGAAAAAAATATCTACTCAAAGCTGGGTGTGACACTCTGTCTCAGAGAAAAAAAGGAGATAGATGGCTATATATTTGGGTACTCTGCTCATCTTCATCATATTTATTATGTTTGGGGAAATTTTCACCTTTCCTACTTAAACACACACTATGGTGTGTGGCGGCTCACCTCTAGAAAAATGCGTAATTGCTTCTTCTGGACACAAGGGGGCACAAAGAAGACGCAACGTTAGCTTCTCAGAGGCTGGCTCCAGGGAACAATATGGTTCCCGGTTCTCTGGGGAAGCCAGACCTTACTCTCTGTGGAAAAAGGCCATTTTCTTTTCCTTTTCCTGGTGGCTGGAGGTTTCCAGTCCACCCCTTTACTGGTGGAGCCCCTTGGGGATCATGGTTCAGTTTCTGAGTCTTAGATGCAGCTTCCCCATGACTGACAACTCAAGGTGTAGCATGCTGTTCCCAACCAGGTTCTCTTCCCCCCAGTTCTGGTGTTCCTGGTCATGGAGTCAGCACTCACCCTAGGAGGCACCCTGGCCCCAAATCCTGGCCTTACATCCTCTATTTCTGGGAAAAGTTCCTTCATTCTTTGATCAGTTAGCAAGGCTTTCAGCTATGTATGTAATAATCATCTGGAATCTAGTTGCTTATAGAAGGCAGCGCTATTAGAGTACTGGCCTTCCGTAGAGGAAAGTAGGAAGATCAGTTTTCTTTCATTAACTTATTCACTCATTTTGTTAAAACTTTTTAGTTTTTTTCTGAGACATGGTCTCTTATCTAGCTAAGGACAACCTTGAATTTCTGATCTTCTTGCCTCCACCTACCTAGTGCTAGGGTTACAGGTATAAAGTCACTATGCCTGATGTATGTGGTACTGGCAATCAGTGCACACAAGTCCTCTACCACCTGAGCTCTAACATCATTTCCTGGACAACCATCTATGCATCTCTAGTTTTGATGATAAGGAGTTAGGAGTGGAGTCTTTGCTCCATGAAGTTCATGGTTTAGAGAGACAGATAGAATCACACGGAAAAGACACTCAGGAGGGGAACATGTAATTACAGAGTGAGGAAAAGGGGTGACATGAAAAGCATGTCCAGTGATTCTCAGTGTGTGACCCATACCTTCAGCCACATCTGAGAACTTAGTGAAATATACATCCTCTTACCCTCCAAAAACCTACTGAGTCAGAAACTATGAAGTTTGACTCAGCAAGCTGTACTTGAACAAACCCTCTAGGTGCTTCTGAACCATGGGCACAGCCCAGAGAAACCAAAAGATGTCTCAGAGGAGCCTAGAGCTGAAAGATGCCAGGGAGGTACACCTCAGTGAGAAGAGCATGTGCAAATGTCTTGTGGTGGGAGAGTCAGATGTGTTTAGCAAAAGTAGGATAAGACATCACCGGGCAGGGGTGGGAGGCACTTGGGAGTCAGAGACAGATGGATCTCTGTGAGTTCTAGGCCAGCCTGGTCTACAGAGTGAGTGCCAGGACAGGCTCCAAAGCTACACAGAGAAACCCTGTCTCCAAAAACAAAACAAAACAAAACAAAACAAAAAAGACATTTATCAAGAGCCAATGTCTAAGGACCTTCCCTGCTGGAGGAAGGAGCACTAAGTAATGAGAAGTCATGAAAAAGCGACTATTTTATTTTGTTTGTTTATGGGTTTTCAGGCAGGGTTACTCTGTGTAGTCCTGGCTGTTCTGGAAATTGCTTTGTAGACCAGGCTGACCTTGAACTCAGCGATCTGCCTGCCTCTGCCTCCTGAGTGCTGGAATTAAAGGCCTATGCCACCTCTCTTTATATATATTTTCATCATTATTTATGTGTGTGGGTGTTTTGCCCCCAAGTATGGATATGAACTGCATACATGCAATGACCACAGAAGCCAGATCCTGTAGAGCTGGAGTTAACAGATGGTTGTGAGCTGCCCTGTGGGTTATGGGATTTGAACCTGGATCCTCTGGTAGAAGAGCCAGTCATCTTAATCACTGAGTCATCTCTCCAGCCCCTCAGGCAGTTTTAAAATCTAATTTAACAAGACCCTTCATATTAATATCTGAGCAATTGTGCCATTAGGAAACTAAAGTGCCACCTGGTCCTGAGAATCTGCAGCCCCCCTGGGAGGCAGAGGCAGGCGGATCTCTGTGAGTTCGAGGCCAGCCTAGAACAAGTTTCAGAACAGCCTCCAAACTAACAGAGAAACCCTGTCTCGAAAAAAAAAAAAAAAAAAACAAATCTAATTTAACAATTGAGATGGAAGGATGTGGGCAAGGAGAGACAAGCTAGAGAGGAGCCAGGGTATGGACTTGGGGTTGGAAGAATGTGGTGGGAGCAGAGACTAAAGGGGACCACCAGTACTTCATCAAATGAAACTTTATTGCCTGTATCTTCAAGAGACAAGTACATCCTCACCATGAGATTCTCACAGATTAATGACTCAGGAGCAGAACAACTAACCATGAAGCACCACACACAGCTACGATTGAGGTAGGCAGGGGCTGGGGTTCTTGGGTTCCCACAGTCAAGGCTGGAAGGACCCGAGGGATTGGAGGACAGTAGGCCATTGGAGGGACAATAACTACACCCCACTGGGCACTCCTGGGACATGAGGGACCATAGCAGGAAGTGGCCAAGAGAGAGGACCACTGAATCTGGCAGGACAGCCAGAAGCTGGGGACCTGGGCTTTCCTGAAGGTAGTGGAAGCTGCTGAAGGATGCTATACATGAAGGAGACAAGTCATTCTCCTGTCCAGGGATGGTTTGAACCCCACGGCTGGGTGGCACCAGGATAGTGACTGGTCCTTCAGAGGGGCAGATGTGATGTGTGTCCCTGCTTTCTGGAAAGAGGTGGACTGGAGATGGATATGACTTGGAGTCTGTACAGGGCCAGGTTCATTGGTTTCTTACAAGTTGACTCCTTAACTCTCTGGGTGATGAATGACACCTCTTGCTTTTGTACCTGCAAGCTGTGTTCTTTAGCTTGATTTTCCAAGCTGCAGTCAGCCTCGATCCTGTTGTGGAGTTGCTGGCGTCACCTGGCCAGGCTCATCTCCACAAGCTCAGCAGATATTCATAGCTAAGGAAGGTAGCAGCATTAACAGGAAAGGCCCGGGCACTATTGAGGGTCATGCCCTTGAAAAAGACTCCGATTCCCTCCTGCTGGAAGCTGCTTGCCATACAGTCCAGCATCCCCCGGTACTTTCTCCCCTTCAGCCCGTCCATCTGCATCCGGGACTTGATCACATCAAAAGGCGTGGCTGTGATCCAG